TCCCCCCCTTCCTCCCCTTCCTCCCCTTCCTCCCCTTCCTCCTCCCTCATGCGAGTCACAAACGAATGTTATGTTCGTGCCAAGTGGCACCTTGTCATCGCTCAAAGTCCTTCGCCTCCTCGTCCTCCTCCTCCTTTCTCATTCTCTTCTTTCTGTCTGGCGTCGCATTGCGAATGCATTGGCTTAGCGGAATGCCATAAATTATGTGCATTGAGTAATATAATATTATACTAGAGGAAAATTCATGAATTACCTAACTTGCTTTAGGCAGTTTAACACCTCATAAATTTGGAGGCTAAGCTGCCGGAAAAATCTATGATCTTGGTGGAGATGACGACTCTAAATTTCACCAAGTCTAAGCTTTGAACTTCAAATTTTAATGAAATTTAGAGTTCAATGAACTCTAAACTTTGAAGGTTTTTTTTTTTTCTTCTTCTTTTTGAAGTTTTAAAAATTAAAAGTTCATTTTATTTTTTTTTTGTTAACCCTAAACCAACAGGCCTAGGTCAGTTGGCATATCCACAAATTGTTGAAATAAAGACCTGGGCTCAAAATTCAAATCCATCTAAATCAACAAAATTCATGTATTACCTAAGGCTGGTCACTTTCACGATGATATCTCGAGGCCGTCGCCCTTCTTATGAAAAAAAAAAAAAAAAAAAAAAAAAAAGAACGAAAAAAACCCTTCGAACTTCCAAGTTTAAAGAGAATGGTTTTGACTTCTGTTCACAGTTTTTTTTTTTTTTTTTCCCCCCAGTGTTTTAAGGTGACTGTCGCGTTCTAGTTTCACTTTTTCTCTTTCTCTTTGTTTCTTTTTTTTCCCTTTTTTTTCTGAACTTTCTGATCTCTAATGTTTCTTTCGCAGCATATGTTTGCTATATAGACTCAGTTGCAATTCCCTGGTTCTGATCCTGGACCTTCCCCATGTCCAGGACCAGATCCAGGTTCAGAGTCAGGTCAGGGCCATGGTTCCAGGCTTCAGTTCCAAACTTCCAGAGGGTCACGGAGGGGTGCCCGCTAAATCACGTGACTGCGGATTTTTCGCATATTATATTATTATTATTTGAGCTCTTGAACTTCTCTTCTAGGAAAGTACGATTCATCTAAAGGCAGCAAACGAGGTTGTCTTTCTGAAAAAAAGCGTGAGCTTTAAGCCTTTAAGCTGTCGTTTTTGCCTGTGGGGGGCAGAGGGGGAATGGGGACGTAATTCTTGCTCTGGGAGGCAGAGGGGGAAGGGGGATGTAATTCTCTCTCTGGGTCTTGCAGGCCTTGCAAAGGTCTTTCTTACCAAGGCCCCTGTCAACCTTGTCAGTTCAGACTCCCAGTTGGACTCTGGCTGTTTGTTCTTCAGCCAAATGCCTGCTCCAGGTCATCTTTTGTTTTCATTATTCCTGCCCTGTTTCTTTTTTTGTTTTTGGTCCTGTTCCTGGTCTTGTTCCCGGTCCTGTTCATGCTGAAGCATGGCTCTCTTGCTCCTTCATGTTCCCTTTTGTTTTCCTGTTCCTTTTCCTGTCCCTGTTCCTGGTCCTCATTCTGCTCCTGCTACTATTCCTGTTCCTGCTCCTGTTCCTGTTCCTTTTCCTGCTCCTATTCTTGTTCCTGGTCATGGTCCTGGCCCTGTTCCTGTTCCTGTTCCTGGTCGTGGTCCTGGCCCTGGTCCTGGTCCTGGTCCTGTTCGTGTTCCTGTTCCTGTTCCTATTCCTGTACTTGTTCTTGTTCCTGTTCCTGTTCCTCTTCCTGTTCCTGTTCCTGTTCCTGTCCTGCTCCCGCTCCTGCTTCTGCTCCTGGCCTGCTCCTGCTCCTTCTCCTGCTCCTGGCCCTGCTCCTGGCCCTGCTCCTGCTCCTGCTCCTGGCCCTGCTCCTGCTCCTGCTCCTGCTCCMGCTCCTGCTCCTGCTCCTGCTCTTGCTCCTGTTCCTGCTCCTGCTCCTGCTCCTGCTCCTTCGTGTTCCTGTTCTTGCTACTGCTCATGCTAAATGTCTGCTTTACATTACGGCTTCTCTGTTCCCTTCTGAGTTCCTGCTCGTGCTCACGCTTGTGCTCCTGCGCTCGTGCCCACGCTCAAAGCTTTCTGCACCTACTGGTGTGCTGATGTATGCTCTTGCACATGCCTACAGTCTTCCCACAAAGACGACACAATCTGATCATGAATGTATACAAGCCTTCTGTCGAGCTCAATGCGCTCAATGCAGTAACAGACCATGAGGGTAAGTTGAGTTTCGGGGGACGATGGTGCATTTCTGTCTCTGTTCTCTGTTCTCTGTTCTCTGTTCTCTGTTCTCTGTTCTCTGTTCTCTGTTCCTTATCTATTCCTGTTCCATTCCTTGCTTTGTTCCTGGTCTGGTCCTTATCTTGGTCCTTGTCATGCTCATGCTCTTTAATCTATATTCTCTGTCTTGGTCCTTGTTTTGCTCTGCACGTCAACTTGGTGTTGGTCCTGGTCCTGCTCCTGCTCCCAGTCCTCATCTTGGTCCTCCTCTTGCTCATGCTCTCTATTCTCTGTTCCTGGTCCTGGCCCTCGTCACAATCGTTCTCATGCTCATGCTCGCTATTCTCTGTTCCTGGTCCTTGTCCTGTTTGTGTTCCTGAACCTTAAATTAGGTTGTACGAGAGCAACCGGAACAACATTCCTGGATCATATGCGATGGAGACGTGGATCCGGAGTGGATTGAATCTTTGAACTCCGTGTTGGATGACAATCACCTCCTCACTCTCCCAAGGTAATACACATTTTATGCCCTTCAGCGTTAGATATTCACGAAGTCACCTATACAACAGGATGTGGTCCCTGTGCAGGGTACACTCCCAATTCCAGGGGCAGGGCAGTCCCTACTCAGGATGCAGCCCCAAACGTTGAGGGATTAAAACATGATTTGCCCCGATCGCAATTAACCCCACAAAGCGTAGAGTCGTAGACCACATGGGGGATCTGCAAATGGCTGACCAGCATCGTTTGGATGAACCGCAAATTTGTGCCCCACGGGCCCCACCACGCGCAGACGCAGACCACATGGGTGATTTGCAAATGACTGACAAGCAAACAACCAAAGACATTTTGGGTTTGCAACACCATCTGGGTGATCGACAAATTGTTGGCCAGCATCCAGCACACCAGCCTGAGATCCCCACCAACCTCTATCGTCTGACTGCAACTAACATCTGTCTTCACACTCTCGTTGGCCCGTTTTATACACCGCCAGACTTCCTTTCAATTGCTCTTCAGCTTGGTGCTAATCTTCCCCGCCTACAGCCCGAGGACTGTAATTGTATCAGTGAAAGAGGCTTTGCTATTGCTGGCCTACAAGTAGCAGTGGAGGACCGCTGACTTGAACAACGCCATGCTCGAGCAGGTGAGTGGCTTAATCCTCCATCCCACATCTCTCCCTGCATTGTGCACAGAGCTGGCCATTACATAGCCATTGTACATGACTCTGAGCACTGGGATCTGTAAGACAACGACATTATGGTCCATGTCATGACTTATGTTTCTGATTTCTTACAAAATGATGCTGTTTTCTTGGCACACCAAACCGTCTGCAATCTCTTTTATGTAGAAGATCATTCCTCTGGCCCCGTGCTGCAGCAGGACAATGTACCAACACTGCGACCTTCTCCTTTGCACAACTGCAAACACTGTTACACTCGGCTGTAGCTTCCATCGTCTCTGTCACAATCACTGCAATCAGATGGTTTCTGCATCCATGTGTGTAGAGGACTGTCCCTCGGTTCCTGGCCGCAGGCACCCTCCGCAACCGGACATATATTTCCATTTTGCGGCCATGGGGCACTATACTGAATGCATGACCTTTTGTGGTGAGAGGTCTGGCTTGCAATCGGCATGCCATTTGTCATGGGGCTCAATGCTAGCTATGTCCTTGCTGTCGTCAAGGACAGACTGTTTTTTTTAGCCTTTTCTTGTCCTCTTCTTAGCCTTCCTCTTCATTCCACACTCCTTATTTTGAATGCTTTCCCTTACTTTCCCTTCGTCTTTCTTTGTTTCCTCTTCTCTCCATCACTCTTCTCTGTGTTCATCCTCTCCCCCCTTACTTTGCCTCTTTCTCACAGCGTACAAGTGGGCCGTTACGGCACACGCGGATGTGGGCAGTTCGCACTCATCTTTATCAATGTGGCGAGCCTTGGACGTGAGCGGCATAGTGAAGGGGGAGTTAAAAGAGGAATGATAACAATGAAATGGTTTCAGTGTGCTCTTCATGTTTATCCTCTACTTTTAATCATTTGTTTGACAAAGTGGGCTCTTTTAGTTCATAGATTTGTGACTATATATATATGACGATATATATATATTGCATCACCAACCAAGCTGCCAGGGTCACCTTGGCTGCCTAGGCAGACCGGCCGGGCAAGGGCCAGGGAAGGTCCCTGTAAATTAAAAAATAAAAAGAATCCAAAAAAAAATTAAAAATTAACTGACCAAGTTTTGCCTCAGGATCACAAGACTCACAACGAAATTATTTGCCAAAAAAAAATAAAAAATTGCCAATATAAACTTAAAACTAATTTAAATAAAATTGAATAAATATACTTTTTTAAAGTTTTTTAGTTTTTCATTCATTTTTGGCCCGGCCGGGCAAGTGGTTCCGGGCCACTTTGGTAGCATAGCGATGATAGCATATGTATATTTTTTTAAAAGATCCTCCAAACCCGGCAAATAGAAAGGGAGAGGGGGAGAGGGGATACCCAACCCATGTGGCTGAGTCGTACGCCCAGGTAACCGTTGAGAAACAGACCTGAGTTCAAAGTCCCGATCCTGATGGAGGCCTGGTCAGTCGGATGATGATACCTCGAGGCTGGTCACCTTAAAAAAAAAAAAAAAAAAAAAAAAAAAAAAAAAAAAAAAAAAAAAAAAAAACCGACAAAGAGAAAAACTTTGAAGAAGATAGGGAGGGGAAAACAAGGAGCGTGGACAAAAAAATGAAAAAAAGTTAAACAAAAAAAAAAAACAATTTTTTTTTCCCAGTGCTCTCACCGCATATAGCAGTACTACGACCATGCTACCAAAGCCAATTTATTTTCAAACTGGTGAGTCCCAATGTGTATCAGCAGCCTGAAAGTAGCAACGTCACGGGGCGGTCATTATAGCTGTATTTGGGGCAACTTTCAGTCTAGATACGGCAATAATGGGAACAGGAGCTGATGAAGCCAGCATCTCTCTCTCTCTCTCTCTCTCTCTCTCTCTCTCTCTCTCTCTCTCTCTCTCTCTCTCTCTCTCTCTCTCTCTCTTCTCTCTCTCTCTCTCTGTTTTTCTTTTTGAAGGGTGACGGCCTTTAGATGTCACCTTCGGAGTGACTGGCCCCAGGTAAATTCATAATTACATCTGCTAACATCTGGATTCGAACTTGGGTCTGCGTTTGAACAGTTCACATAGGTGTACCAACTGAAGCGGCATCTTGAAGCACTGCTGCCCCAAGTATAGGTGATGCTCAGAGGAAGGGAAGCAGATGGCACTACCTGTGTGAATGTACCGAGCTGTATTTAGGCTATTATATGTGTCATGCACCGGGCCATCTTGACGTCCAGATGCATTCCCTTCCTTTGAGAAAGGGTGAGAGGTGTTCCATAGGAATGAAGCTTGGCAGTTCTGATATAACCCGCATTCTCTCCTTGTATTCCACTGGGAGATGGGTGGACTTTATAGTCCAGTCCATATCTCCTACCGCAAACTTTTTTTTTTTTTTTTTTTTTTTTTTTTGGTACCCCAAACTTTACCCAAACCCATAACCCATTTTCCCCAAACATCAACCATACTATCTATAAAGCCTTGTACAGAGGTGGGGAGGGGTGGGGAGGACGGCTCAAAGGACTCAGATAGTGCCTTGTACTTGAACTCCAGTAATGAATTTATGTGGAGTAGGATGTGGACTAGGTGAGTTTGCATTGTCAGGTCACTAAGGTGGATGCATCTAACCTATGGGAGGGGTGATTGGGCATGCACGGAAACGAAACATTAAATGCTGTTTTTTTTTTTTTGGTATAAATGCTGGGTTTGGAGGGGACTCAGCAAAGGAATGCACTTGCCGGGAGGCTTGCATGAGTCATTGCAACAATGGAACTTGATTCCATATCATGTAATTGTCACTTTTGAATGCATCCGGACGTCGAGATGGCCAGGTGCATGGCACGTATAATAAGCTAAATACAGCCCGGTACATGCACACAGGTGGCATCATCATGGGATTCAGACTGGATTACAGAGGCAATCCTGGAGCAAGATCCCACTTTAAGGCACCGGGACTGTGCATTTTGGACCATAGATTGAGGAAGATCTACGCCCAAGAGTCGTGGAGAATCCATCTCTGGAACTGGGTGGGACCTTATTTCCAGGATTCTCTGTTTTAGACCGTCGATTAATCAAGAAGAGCGCCAAAAAGAAAAATGAAAAAGAAAGAGAACGATGTCCGGGAGCGGAGAAATGAAAAAGAAAGAGAACGATGTCCAGGAGCGGAGAA